CGGGAATTCCAGATGATTGGGAGCTGTCCTCTTGTAGCTGCATCATTTGGGACTTGGCAGGAGACAATATATGGAGAAGTCTCTCTCTCTCTCTCACTCTCTTTCTTTTACTCTCTCCCCTGCCCACACACACACACTTCTATGCTTTAGCCTGGAAGTGATACATATCATTTCATTTCCACTAACAACCTGTTGGCTGAATTAGTTGGCTCTGCCTCATTGCAAGTGGGCTAGGAAAAGTAGGAGTTCATATGAATTATATGTATAATGTTGCTATAGAAATAGATAAATAGATCAGTGGGAAAGACTGGAGAATATAAATATTAAATCACATATATTCAAAATTTTATTCTATGACAAGTATAATGATTTAATTCAATGACAAGTATAATGATTTAATTCACTATGAAAGTGGATAGAGCTGTGAAAATGAGCAAACTATATGAAAAAACTATTTTACATCATATAAAATAGCGAACTCAAGGTGAATTAAAGACCTAAATGTAAAAAAAGAAAAGAAACAGTAAAAAACTGAAAAGAAAATCTAGGAAACAATGTGAAAAAAGCCAGGATTTGGGGAGGTTCTTTTAAACCAGAACTTAAAAAACCCAAAAGCTATTAAAGCAAATACAGACTACTTAAAAATTGTTTGCATTTTTATGGAAAATACATAAATTCAAGAGATAAATAATAACACTAGAAAAAATATTTGAAATATTCATGACATGCAAAGTGTTTATACCTATAACATACAAAGAGCACCTAGAAAAAAATGACCAGAAAGCAATCCAACAGAAAAAGGGACAAAGGGGTATGAATAGACAATTTATAAAAGGGAAAATCCACATAACCAAAAAATATTAAAAGAAGTCCAAATTCTCTAGTTGTCAGGAAAATTAAAACTATGTTTTAAGAATGTTAACGTATTTTACATATTTTAGACTGACAAAACTAAAAAAATACCTTAATATCTATTAGTGTAGGTGATGTGGGGAAAATGGTAAATTGATCACTAGTGAAATGTTATAGTGTTATACCCTTTTAGAAGGCAATCTGGCAACATAAAATAGAAACATACAACACATATACATATATGCATATGAATATAAATACAATCCATTACCCAGTAATTCCACTTGGAATCTATCCCATTGAAATAAAGCATCAGACTGTGGAGACATAAAAATGTTTATAGTAGCATTGTCTTTAGCAGCAAAAACTGGAAGCAAAGTGAATTTTAATACAAATAGGGAAGAGAGTGTATAAATTATGATACATCTATACCACAAGAATAATATTTAGCCATTGAAAAGAATGAGTTAAATCTACCTGTTGTCTCTGAAGCATCCAAACAATATTTTGAGTGAGAAAAACAAAATTCAGATGATAGTGAAAATCCTATATGTGTAAATGTATGGCTATTGTGTTTGTATTTCTGCCTATATACTATTAAAGGACCTGGACAAATAAGAAAGAATTTATACTAGGTTGTCAGAATTTTCTTTGAGCCCAGTGGGTCTGTGTTGTGTGCCAAGGAGGAAGTTCAGTAGAAAGGAGAGCTAAGGAAACAAATATCAACTCTTGGAGAAAAAAAAGCATATATAGGATCTTACTGATAAAATTTGCAAACAAAGTTATTCCCTGTGTGAGGAAGGAGTGATGCCAGAGCAAGTCCCTGCTTATAAGGTGTGTGTGTGTGTGTGTGTGTGTGTGTGTGTGTGTGTGTGTGTGTGAATTAAGGACAACTTTTGCTACTGTATGGCTGAGTCATTTTATTAATGTGAAACTATCATGAATATGCTTTGTTTTTTTTGTGGGAAAGAAATTAACTTCAGCAAGTCATACATACTTAGGACATGGCTACCAGCCATGAGGATCCAGGAACAGGAAGGAGCCATCTGAGCCAGCCTCACCTACTCTTCGGGGCCAGGAATGCAGACTCTTGAAGGCCAAAGAAATGTAGGTGTTCTTCTGAGTTAGCTGGACCTTGTGGGACTTCAAGCAGGGTGACATGATTTGACATATGAAATGTATATATGGGATATTCTCCTCCCTTTCACCCTCAGCCTCCTCTCATCCTTAACATTCTTCAGGCTTAACATTCAAATCCACAGATATGATTTTCTACACTCTTCCCTGGTTCCCCTCATTGTCTAGATTAATGCCTCCCTCTTCTCTTATCAGGCCCAATACCTTTGCTCATCATAATACTGCCCATTTTGTGTAGGTAATTGTCTCTTTCTCTGTCACTATACTGTAAATGTTTTCTAGGCTATATCCACAGCACAGTAGTACCTGGTTCAAATTATCATCTTGCCCCACTAATGGAGGATTAATAGATAAATCCTGATTTTTTAGCATTTATTTTAAATTTATTTATATTTAGCTTTTATTATTTACTTAGGATTTATTCTCTTTCTCCCCACCCCACCCCCAAGCACTGAGTAAAATTCCTTTAGAAAAAGTCAGGCTGTCTCCACTGGACAGGGAGAAAGAGGGAAAGATAGCCTTAAGACAGCTTGAGAGGAAAAATTAAAGGTGGACACACACATACATACTCACACTCTCTGTCAGCTCTGCGAGGTGGTGGAAGCAGAAGTGAGAGATCCAGAGTGGAAGAGAAGGTGTTCCCTTCCACAAGAAGGCTCTCCTTTGCTGCCTCTCTAAATGGGGTGGGGTGGGGTGGGATGGGGCAGGGTGAGCACTGTTCTCTTCAAAGTATCACTGGAGTTTTCTTTTCAGGATTTAAGGGTGTTTGGAGGACCAGGCAATGCAACATGCGATTCATATAAACACGGAAATTACAGGATTCAACAAAAGCAGGGTGAACTAGCAGATTCCCCGAAAGCATCGGATTTTAGCCCGGCTTAAATCCAAGACAGGAATAAAGACACAGACCTACTAGAGAATGGACTTGAGAATATGGGAAGGGGGGAGGGTAAGCTGTGACAAAGTGAGAGAGTGGCATGGACATATATACACTACCAAATGTAAGGTAGATAGCTAGTGGGAAGCAGCCACATTGCACAGGGAGATCAGCTCGGTGCTTTGTGACCGCCTGGAGGGGTGGGATAGGGAGGGTGGCAGGAGGGGAGACAAAGGAGGGAAGAGATGTGGGAACATGTGGTTACGTATAATTGATTCACTTTGTTGTAAAGCAGAAACTAACACACCATTGTGGAGCAATTATACTCCAATAAAGATGTAAAAAAAAAAACCTTTCTGAACATTAAAGCGCTTCCCTGGAGATACTTTGCTCCCTCGCAGGAGAAGCGCTCAACCAGGCAGAACGAGTGCATAAACTCGGCTCCCAGTACAGTGCCGGCTTACTCAAAACCGAGCTTCCGCGCCTATCTCAGCCCACATCCCACAGTTCCGAGTCCCCGCAGTGAAAGGTGTGGGATCGGGCAGAGAGGTAGATGGCCCCCAGAAAGGCTCGGGAGATTCGAGTGCCCGCGGAACCTCATCTCCCAGGGTGTCTGGCTGGAACGCCCTCAGAACCTCAGTCCACCTCGGTTTCTGCGAAAGGGTTGGCACCTACTGGTGAGCCCCTCCCAGCTTCTCCCAGCGCCCTGTACCAGCTTGGCTATTTGAAATGGTCTTGGACTAGGAGACGAGGCCTCGAAGCCCGCCAGGGGCGGGTCTGGGGTGGGGAGATAAGACGAGCAGACATGCCCTCCAGTATTTATGCAAACCTGGCAGCCGAGTGCGGAGAGGAGGAAGAGCCCCCGACGCCACCCCGGGACCGACTCTGGCCCACAGGCCGGAGAGGCGCGGAGGCAGAGGCTGCTGGTCTCGGGACGGCCAACGCGAGGCCGCAGTGGTTGCTGGCAGAGAGCCCAGAGATTCGTGCCTGGGAGACATACCCCTTCGCAGGGAGCTCAGCCCAGTCCCCACTGCCTGCGAGGGGGCCTCATCTGGAGAGCGCTACTGGAGCTTTTCATGGGACGAGGGGTGGCTGGGGAAGGTGTCCCAAAGCTTAGAACCTATCACTGCTTCCCAGGGGAATCGGCCTGCTAGGGAAAGGAACTAGGTATTTGGGGAGCGTTTCGGGCTGGAGCGAGGCCCGGAGCGAGCGCTGGCACGTCGCCCCCACACTTGGACACCTCCGACCTCCAGAAGCAGGGGCCTCTGCAGAGCTATGGCAGCATTCCTTCCCCCCCTGGATGTTGAGCGTCCATCGCTACAGCTCTTTCGCGAATCCTTCCTTTCCCCTTGGTTCATCTGGTGTTCCAGCTGCGGACCCCATCTGGCGCAGTTACTCCAAGGGGACCTAGCTAGCGCCCCCTCGAGGAGTGCGTGGGGAACCCGGCTTGCAGACTCTCACAGCAGGTAGCAGCAAAAGGCTTGGTGGCTGAGATGGTGCAGTGAGACAGTTGTCAACAGATGATGCAGCTGCAGCTCTGCGCAAGGGGACTGGCGAGCACGTAGCCAGGTACTGCCCCTTCCCAGTGACGTCTTTACAGTGGGTTATAAAGACCTCACACGCAGCCTGCCAAGGTTCTGCTAACTCCCGAGCTGAGCAGGACCCGAGCCAAGAGGCGCCTGCAAAGCTGCAGACGGTGGCGGCGGCGGCGGCGGCTGTAGTGAAAGCAAAGGAAAAAATCTCCAGCTGGACGCAGGGCCCCAGAATTCCTGCCACAGGCTCTGAACTTTGACAGATCGTGCTGTGACTAATACCTCCCACCCCCATCTTCGCCCCGAAGCCCTCACACAGCACAGGCAAAAGCCTTTCCCGCTGCAGATAGGAGGAATAGCAGTTGCAAACAGCAGCAGGTGCAGTAAGGTGGAGGATCTCTGCTTCCTGGAACCGCGACCCGTGGAATTTCTTTCTCTTTTCCAGCTCAACGCAGGAGAGACGCTGCCTCCATATTACAGAACTCAAGTGCTTTCTGAAGCTCGAAAGTGGAGGAATTCAAAGCCACCAAGGGCATGCAGAACATCTAGAAGCTTTTATCTTAGCGTCAAGTCTTCTGCTTACAAGGAAAGAGTTCTGTTTAGAAAGAGCCGGCAGCCCTCCTGTCTTGGTTAAATAGGACTCTGACCCCAGGCGCTGGCTCAGGACCCTGCTGCAAAGGATTTGTGTGTGTGTACAGAGAGGAAGGTTTAATTGCTTAGCAGAAGAATGGATAACGTCCTCCCTGTGGACTCAGACCTCTTCCCAAACATCTCCACCAACACCTCGGAGCCCAACCAATTTGTGCAGCCGGCTTGGCAAATTGTCCTTTGGGCAGCTGCCTACACAGTCATTGTGGTGACCTCCGTGGTGGGCAACGTGGTGGTGATGTGGATCATCTTGGCTCACAAGAGAATGAGGACAGTTACTAACTATTTCCTGGTGAACCTGGCTTTCGCAGAGGCCTCCATGGCTGCATTCAATACAGTGGTGAACTTCACTTATGCTGTCCACAACGAGTGGTACTATGGCCTGTTCTACTGCAAATTCCACAACTTCTTCCCCATTGCTGCTGTCTTTGCCAGTATCTACTCCATGACAGCTGTGGCCTTCGATAGGTGAGCTTGCCCTTTGTGGAAAAGGGAAAAAAATCCTTAAAGGAAGATAGAATTGCTATGGAGCTTCAGGGTTGGATAGTGCCTGGTTCAAGGTGGAGATTGGCCACCTGAACCCCTGGATTTATACTGACAGTTAGCTGAGTCAGTTGTTGATGGGGGATTTTATCTTATCTCATGATTTTCTTTTCTATTTCTTTTTCTTTTTCTACTCATTTTCACCCATCACCAGTCTCCCTTCCTTTATGTATACATCCTACCTTTTTTCTTCATTTCTCTCTTTTATTTTTCCCTTCTCCACTCATCTTCCTGACATTTTCCATTCAACTCCTACTTTGCTTCTTTCCATATATTCCTTCTCTCTTTTGCCTTTAAAGCTTGAAGCGGATACCCAGGATGTGGCCAAGGGGCCAACCCCTGGCTAGGGCTTTGTGAATCCTTGCAGGCCTGCTATTCAGCTGTACAGCCTTTTGATACCTTCCAGTTTCAAGTACACATAGGACAACTTTCTCATCTTCAATTTTTCCTGAATATTCAGGAACTTTCTGCTCCCAACACAACTCTCCAATATTATTTGGATGTGAAAAGCATTTTATTAGAATGATAAAATACTCAGGATTCTAATTCAGCTCTCTCTATGCTGCTAGGGGTTCTCATTCAGAAATGAGAGGCAGCTATGCTGTTCTTAAGGATCCAAGAGTTTTTCTAAACTTCTCTGGCCATGTGAGGTCAATGTTTTTAGCCTCTCTACATCTACAGATAAACATGCTTAGCAAAGGCAATTAAAGGCAATTGAAAGCTCTTTCTTTCCTGCACCCAACAGGCTAGGGTTTCAGAAGCTGATTAGAAGTGAAAATGTTGGCATTTTCACATATTGGAGTTACAGTTCTGGAATGAAAGTGTCCTCAGGTGGCATGATGGAAAATTGATCATTAGAGCACAGCTCTATTTGTATTGACTTTTTTGTGGGTGTCCTAGGTCTCTAATGTGTATATCTCTGGGTGTACAAGTGTTAAATGTTTACCTAGGATGCGGAGGTATGTTTAAAACACCTACCACTGTGATTTTAAAATGGGTTCTTTTGATGGCCTTGCTGAGATAAATGAATATGAGAAGCCCAAAGAAGGAGCTAAGAGAAAAACTTCAAAAAAAATCATTCCCAGATTACTGAATTCTTCTGTATAGAGATTTGCAGTTGATTTGAGGTCTTTTGCAGGTTCTGTAGTCAATGATCACTTTTAAAATCAGAGAAAACTATACTTGCTTTGCAGTGATGTCCAAATGCTAATTTTTAAGTTCCCTTTATGCAACTCTTAAGTGCTTAATATGTTGTGTGTAAAATAAGTTGTGGTGAATCAATTTATATTTTAAATGTAGAAGGGAAACCAATTACTCAAAGTAGTAGTGAAATGAATGCTTTTGTAAATTTATCTCTTATGCTATTCTGGTTTTTAGATATTTGGTTTGCTGAAAGGGAGGTACCTGTAATCTTTCTGCACTGACTTGCTCTTTTAACTTCACATCAGCCCTCTTAAACTTAGAAAACTCACAGCATGATGTATAACTGATTATAAGTGCAGTGAAACCTAGTGCCTTTTCAGCCTTACACACGCTGTCTTGATTATCCCTAAGTTAGAGAGGAAGTTGGTATTTTTACTGCATCAGGTACTTGTGTGAGCTCAAGGGAGACCTGACAGTCAGCATGAGCCCAAGCATTCAGTAGCTGATGGAACACCAGAGGACAGCTCTCTTGCTTTGGCTTACACAGAAATGACATGATCCACAGCCCTTCTCTTCCCCTTTGAACTTAGAAGGTTAGGGGCAAGATTCAGGGTCAAACTCTTCAGTGGGTTGGGCAAGGAGCCAGATTTTGGCTGCCTTGACTCTGGCATCACAAGCTCCACTGTTTCTCTCCAGGCAAACCATAGACCCTGACCCTTCATGACACCTGCTCAGTGAGGTCAGAGGATCTCTGGTGTCAGAGCTGAGAGCAATGACAACAAGAAATGTCATCTGTGCCTGATGTGCAGATTATCAATGGCATGCTCAGGATTAGAGTTCAAGGTAGAGTTAGGGATGATGCCTCAAGGCTGTGTCTCCAAGTCCTCCAAGTGCTCCTTCTGTTTTTCCTTGCTCAGCCTCATGAGCTGAGTAAATTAATCTCCTCAGGCCCTCTGATGAATCTAGCTCCACCACAGGCATGGTCATCCATTCTCTCCCAAGAATGCTTTAGAAAGGAAGAGACCTGGAGCTCTTTCCATATGAATGATTGCTTCTTTCTCCACCATGACAATGCAGACTTTGAGGAAATGTTAAATTATCTTTTTGTATGCTCCTTGAATTTTTAACAGATAATCTTTGAATCATATTAAAAATGAAAGCAACGTGGTTTTCCAGATTATAAAATTAAACCTTGTTCATGAAGGACATAGAAACAAAAATACAAATCAACCATTAATTCACAATGTAAAAGAAACACCTGTTAACAGTTGAATTTCTTTTATGACTATTACACTACATAATTGAAGTCAGATTCTAGATAATTTTGTAGCTTACTTTTTTCCATTGATATTAATGGAAAACATTAATAATATTTTCCCATGTTATTAAAATGTCTTCAGTCACATAATCATAGTGGCTTCCTATTATTCCATTTTATAAATGTGCCATTATTACTTTAACCATCTCCCTACTGCTGGGAACCTAGATGATGTCTAGATTTTTTTGCCATTATGATTAAAATACTAGTAAACATTCTGTATGGTAATTTTATTTTGCTTTCTTGATTATTTCTTTAGGGTAGATTTCCCAGAAGTAGAATTACTGGGTAAAATGAAATGAAATTTCTTAAAAATGCCATTGGTATTTTAATAGAAATTGCATTGAATCTGTAGATTTCTTTGGATAGTATGATCATTATAACAATATTAATTTTTCCAATTTGTGAACATGGTATATCTTTCCATCTGTTTGTGTCATCTTCAAGTTACTTCATCAGAGTTTTCTAGTTTTTGGAGTACAAAACTGTCTTAGCTTTATTATTATAGATTTTATTCTTTTTGATGTGATTTTAAATAGGATGGTTTTCTCAATTTCTCTTTATGATAGTTCATTTCTATAACATAGAAACAGAACAGATTATTGTATATTAATTTGGAGGCTGCACCTCTACTGAATTAATTTATTAATTTGAATATTTATTGGTGGTGTCTTTAGGATTCTCTATGTATAATATCATGTCATCAGCAAACAGTGACAACTTTACTTGTTCCTTTCCAATTTTGATTCCTTTTATTTATTTTTCTTGTTTAATTGCTGTGTCTAGGACTTCTAATACTATGTTGAATAAAAGGGGCAAAAGTGGACATCCTTGCCTTGTTCCTGATCTTAGAGGAAATGCTTTCAGCATTTCACCATTAAGTATGATGTTAGTGGTGGGCTTGTCATATATGGCATTTATATGTTGAGGTACATTCCCTCTATATCCACTTGTTGAGAGTTTTTATCATAAATGGATGTTAAATTTTGCCAAAAATTTTTCTACATCTAATGAATGAACTTATAATTTTTATTCTTCATTTGTTAACTTGGGTGTCACATTGACTGATTTGCTGATATTGAACCACCCTTGCATCTCTGTGATAGATTCCACTAGATCATAATGAATGGTACTATTAATGTATTGTCTAATTCGGTTTGCTAGCATTTTGTTCAGGATTTTTGCATCAATGTTCATCAGTGATATTAACCTGTACTTTACTTTTTTGTGGTATCTTTGTCTGATGTTGCTATCAGGGTGATGCTGGCTTCATATATTGAATTTGGAAGTGTTCCTTCCTCTTGAGTATTTTGGAATAATTTGAGAAGGTTAGATGTTAACTCTTCTTTAAATGTTTTGTAAAGTTCACCTGTGAAGCTGCCTGATTCTTCACTTTTGTTAGTTGGGAGTTTTTAAATTACTGATTCAGCTTGTTTACTGTTAATTTGTCTATTCATATTTTTTTATTTCTTCCTGATTCAGTCTTGGGAGATCGTGCATTTCTAAGAATTTTTCATTTCTTCTAAGTTGTCCACTTTATTGGTGTATATTTTTCATAGTAATCTCTTATCCTTTGTATTTCTGAAGTATTGATCTGTAACTTCTCCTTTTTCATTTCTGATTTTGTTTATTTAGGTCCTCTCTCTTTTTCTGTTGATGAGTCTGGCTAAATATCTATCAATTTTGTTTATCTTTTCAAAGAACCAGCTCTTAGTTTCATTGATCTTTCCTATTGTTTTTTCAGTCTCTATTTCATTTATTTCTGTTCTGATATTTTTTTATTTTTTTCCTTCCACTACTTTGGATTTTGTTTCTTTTTCTAGTTCCTTTAGGTTTAAGGTTAAATTATTTATTCAAGATTTTTCTTGTTTCCTGATGTACACTTATATAAACTTCCCTCTTGTAAATGTTTTTGCTGCACACCATAGATATTGGATCCACTTTCAATTTCTCTCCAGGTATTTTTTATTTCCTCTTTGATTTCTTCAGTGACCCATTGGTTGTTTTCTAGCATATTGTTTAGACTCCATGTGTTTGAGTTTTTGCAGTTTTTTTCTTGTAGTTGATTTCTAGTCTCACACCATTGTGGTCAGAGTAGATGCTTGGGAACTTCCCTGGTGGTCCAGTGATTAAGAAATCACCTTCCAATGCAGGGACACAGGTTTAATCCCTGGTTGGGGAACTTATATCCCACATGCTGCAGGACAGCTAAGCCCCCATGCCACAAGTACTGAGCCCGCATGTTCTGGAGCCCGTGAGCCACAGCTAGAAAGAAGCCCACATGCTGCAAATAGAGAAGCCCCTGTGCTGCAACAAAGAGACCACACACCACAACTAAAGATCTCATATGTCACAACAAAGATCCTGCATGCTGCAACTAAGACCTGATGCAGCCAAATAAATAAATAAATAAATAAAATATTAAAAAAGAATAGATGCTTGATATGTTTTCAATTTTTCTAAA